TGATAGTAAGAAGTCTCTTCCAAATATTCTGTGCATATACCAAGGTTTTCTCCCTTTACCAGGAAGGTGTCAAATCACAAACGTCATTATGACACAATATTCTGGAGATCCTGGTTTGATTTAAAACTGACTCATGGGCAAAGAAGACTTTCCTAACTCCTGCCTCTCCATCTACTGATGGAGTTACATTTGCCTCATCCTCACTAAAGATATTAGTAAGATTTTAAGAATAAATATCTGTAATGTACTTTTAAATATCCAATTACTTCCAAACCTTCACCTTCCCAAAAATCACATTTACTTGTGTAGCACCTGAAGGTTTACAAACTACCTTCCTCATGAGGTTCAAGTACTCCCATTTAAAGGTGAGAAACTGAGGCAAAAGGGGCAAAATGGCTTTTTTGCCTAGGCTCCTAGCGTCATGGCCAGACCTCAAATGTAGGACTGCTGATCTCACTGTTCTTTTCCCTCCTGCCATACTAATTCTTCAACCTCTTTCTTGAAGCACTATTTGAGGACATGAGGCAGTAATTGTTCATTTGCTGAATCAAAAGCAAACCAAAGCTTATTACTTGTTGGGTACACTTTAGAATTCCTTTGTGGTTTAAATATTTTATAAGTCAGTGACAGCTTTGATCATGATGGAACAGATGAACTCAAAGGGCCAAACATCTAAAAGAAGCAAAAAGAAATGGATTCAACAGAATTGTTTGCACCAAAGGGCTACTGTTCTAAGATTTTCTCTAGCTTCTTTTCTGATTTACAGTTTTTGAAGAAGAAAATAGCTTTGATGTTTCAAATTCTTTGCAGGAAAAAATTCACAAGAGAATTTCAGGAACTGCTAAAAAAACTGAGTTAACTTGAGCATAATACTTAAGTCACTAGATCTGGTAACTTGAAAGGATCTTCTTTCTCTAGGTTAGGTCCAAGTAAATGCCAACATCACCACTGTATCCATAGACTGTATTCTCCAACATTTCCAGACAAAGGGAACTTCCACTGATCAACAGGAATAACCTCTGTCATACTTCCCAGTATTGCATTTTGTGGTGCTTATAGAAGCATTTCTCCCAAAGACTACAGTGATCATGTCGCCTACATAAGGCCCAAAACCATTAACAGACCAAAGGACCACAAAATATTGCAGCTACATTTAAGGGGGAAAGATTTTTAATCAAGCAAGCAGAAAGCATCTTTGGAAGTAAATTAGCCTAATCCTGTTTACAGATGGTATCCATGGAATCTTGTCCAATTGTAGGCTTTCCATTTTCTTGCTAAACTTAAGTTAGCTTTCAAGAAACAAATGTTTCCTTGTACTTGATCAGCAGACACAAAAAAATATATTCAGCCTCTAAGGTTCTGAAATGCTTGATATATATTATAAGTATTTTTAATACAAAGTGAAAAGAGTATTGGCTCAAAGTCTGGGGACTTCAAATCTTTTTCTATGATTACTATCTATATGACTGAGAAAAATCACTCAACTTCTCCATGTCCATTTTCTCATGTGTAAAAATGAAAGGGTTGGGCTAAATAGCCCTTGAGGTTCCTTTCAACTCACAATCTATGATTTTAGAAAAATCTCATAAAAATTTTTAGGTTTTTCTTGTCTCTACACAGTGCTTTTTGTGTGCAAATATTGTTTATATTACACATAAACACACTATCCCAATTAGTTAATATTGGAGTAAAAGGAGTGTCCTAAACAATGATAGACAAGTTCAACTATCAAGGATTTGAAGTTTTCATAAAGGAGAAAGACTTTTGGCTAACCATGCCCAAAGTCTTTCCTTCACTCGCTATATATGTAGTAAGGTACATAACAGTACATACCTTACTAAATATTAACATATTGCCTCACCCTTTGTCTTCAATATCACATAGTCTGTGACCCAAAACTAATGAAAACAAATCAATTTGTAGCTATTTCCTCCTACTTAGATGTTTAACAATGTGAAGGCAAAAGCAAAGAAAACTTCTTGAAAAATTTTTAATTCACATATGTGGACTTTCCTAGCATTTACCCATTTCACTCATCTGGCACCTTACCATGAGTGATCTGTCTCACATTCTTATATTATTATTTAATACTTCAGGTTTATGTTTTGTCTTACCACTAAGCTTTCAGAGCAGGAACCATTTATTGTACTTCTTTTTTTATCTCCTATATTGCCTACACAAAGCAGCAACCATTTATTGTACTTCTTTGTTATCTCCCATATTGTCTACACATTATATGTTAGGTGTCCAATAAATAGTCATTGAACGAAGATTTAGATAGCTTTTATGGATTTTCTCCCTTTGTTCTAAAAATGCAAATCTGAGTTGTACCACAATGTCAAATGAGAATTCTGTACTGATATTTGAAGAACTCAATACAACAATGGCAAAAGTTCCCTCTGTGGCTCTGATCATATTTTGACATCTTGGATTCATGTCTACTTATCTGTAATCTTCTTATTCTCAAGAAACAAAACTTGTTAAGGGAATAGTGACAGAAAAAAAAACACCGAAAGAAAAGTGTTTACAAGTGTAATCATTTCAGATTAATAAAGTATGGAGTTTATTTAGCCTCATACCTGAGGCTATCACTGATGTAAAGGAAAAAAAAATTTGAGAAACAACACGAACATAATTCTTATGATTACAGCTACCAGATTATAACCAATCACAGAAATCATGTTCCATTTTTTTATGCTATACAAAATGCAAAACAATAACAACTAGAAAACACACTGTGTGAAGCACCTGAAAATGGAAATGATATTACGTCTATGTACTCTGAACACATACTACACTGGCTTTAAATTCCCTCACTTTTAAATTTAGACCCTACCCTGGGCCTGCACAACCTGCGGCCCTCAGGCATGCCGAAGGATTTCGGGGGCCCCATGAAAAATGTAGGGGATGTTGTCCTCCACGTTCTTCACAGGCCACTCGAAATCTTTTGGAGTGCCGCAGGTTGTGCAGGCCTGCCTTACACAGACATAACCGTACATATTTTTTTAGAACAGGGAAAGATCACAAGGAATTTTCCTTTTCAATGAAGTATACATATTGTATTCATTCCCCCTCAGAAAACAGTGGGATGTCTCAAGGTTCAAACTGATACTAAAAGTCAGAAATTTCTGCAATTTTATTCATGTTTTTACATTTCAAATTAGATCAACTAAGTTATTCAGCTTAAGCTACAAACAACTTCACAATTATATAGACTCCGGATGCTCTTCAAAGCGCGCTATCCTTATTAAAAGCTAAAAACTGCTCTTACTTCCTTTTGAAATACGGGACTGGAATAGTCTCATTCTTAGAAACTTGAGCATTTGATTTGGAGTCAGAGGACCTAGTTGTTCAAATCTTGCTTTTGTTGCTTACTAACTACATGACCTTTTTTGTTGTTACTGAGTCATTACAATCTCTTCTTGACCCCATTTGGGGTTTTCTTGGCAAAGATAATGCAGTGGTTTGCCATTTCCTTCTCCAGCTCATTTTAAAGATGAGGAAACTGAGGCAAAGACAGTTAAGTGACTTGCCCAAGGTCACACAGCTAGTAAATGTCCGAGGCCCGATTTGAACTCAGGTGCTCCTGTCTCCAGGCCCAATGCTCTATGCACTAGGACACCTAGCTGCCCCATGTGACCTCAGGGTCACTTAATCTCCCTGAGCCTCAGTTTCCTCATCTGTAAAATGAATGATTTGGACCAGAAGACCTCTAAGGTCCCTTCAAGCTTTAAATCTCTGATCTATGATCATCCTCAAGACTAAAAATAAATCACTGGCACAACAAAGAGCAATGTATTTCAAGTCAGATGACTTAAACTTGACTATAGGCCTTTGCTACTTGCTACCTGTGTGGCTTTTGGCAAATCAAATCCCCTCTCTTGTTTCTTAGTTTTCTCATCTGTACAATAAGTGGGGTGGGGGGCCTGGATAATGTCAAAGCCTTCTTCCATGGCTGAATTCCTGTGACCCTCTCCAGAACATAAATTTTCTTCTTCCTAAAACATTAAAGCCAACAAATAAGGAAAACGTATTCCAAAGATAAAGAATATATACAGTAAGATGTGTTTTAAGGATATGACTTAAAAATTTAATGAAGAAAAGGCATTTAAGATACAATGAAAAAATGTGCTAGAATAGAGCATCCAAGAACGTTAGCATAGCTATTATTTAAGCAAATAGGCAGCACAGCACAATGTACAGAGAGGTGTCAAGCCCTCCTGGCTGTCTGACCCTGGGCAAGTCCCTTAGAGAACTGCCTTGGGGCATCAAGAGCTCAAGCTGCAGCCAACCTGGGTTAGTAAGTGGAGGTAGCTTCTTCACTGGGGAACTCCTTACACTATGAAATCAGTAGCCCAGTCCAATAGACTATGTTTGTAGGAAAATAAAATAATCTTTAAAAAATACCACTAAACAGCAACAGAAGAGTCTGTTTAATTTGTTTTTAATATCTCTAATAAATATTTCTAATCCTTCCATAAAAGTACGTTACAGTTCTACAATTTATTGCAAACAGATTTCTTATCTGTTGATATTCAAACTATAACACATATTATTTAATTATTGGCACTATTTACTCTACAGCACAATGGAGAATGCTTTTTTAAATAAAGAAAAAATAGCAATTCAGTGGGGAAAATGTCAAATAAAAGGTCCTTTTCCAAAGACAATTACATATCTACATCAACAGTTACATTAAAAATGCTAATTTCTGAACAGGCACAGGATTAAAAAGTCATGATGAAAGTTAGCCAGGTTTTGTCCAGAAATGTGATATATACTGCACAGTTTATTCATTCACTCATTTATTTATTTATTTATTTTTAGCAAATCCTAGTTTGCCAAGCTTCAGAAGGCAAAAGCCTAAAAGTATAAGTTTCAGAGTTGTCCAACTAGTTAGTCTTCTTGCCCAGAAGAATCTGGTGACTGGTAATACTTTGCAAGAGAGCACACTGTCACCAATGTTTTTGTTGTTAATTAATCCATCAAAACAGCAACATTCATGTCCTTAAGATGCCAGGCCTAGCAAGAAGCCTCCCACAAATCCGCTGGATACCACTATATTCTGTTTGATAAATTCTGTTGACTAAAAAAAAAAAATACTTTTGTTAGTTGCATACTATTAAAACATAAAATTACTTGACATTTTCTAGCCTTATTCAATTTCAATGAAAATGAGTTCTCACAGAACTTTGATATTAGAGAAATAAAATTTTAGAAAATGAGAGACATAGGTATCTACAAAAGTACAAGATCTTTATGTTTTCATTTCAAAAGTGCAGGACCCTTAGCTTATTTCGAGGCATGATGGTAACTATGGATCGTACCTTGAATATAGTGAGTGAGACTGCCCTAAGAGGCCATTTGTTAACCATCAACTCAAACTTCAAAGATATGTGGTTTAATCAGCATGGGTATTGTCTTCATTGCTACAGATAACAACTCTTCAAATAATTTAGAACATGGTCTTTAAGATTTACTGTGCCTCTAAAATTCAGCACCATGACAGTGATGAAACTCTTCAAATCAGCTGATTCAGCCCACTAAAGTTCTACTCTAATATTAACTATTAAATAAATTTCCACATTGTGCACACTCTCATTTTATTGGGAATAAAGGAGAAACATGTATGATGAAAAAGCTTTAAAAGGCAACTATTAAGTGCTCCAATACACCTATGAATATCAGTAAAATGAATTTAAGTCTTTTAGGCTCATTTTGTGTTGACTCCAACTAAGTAAAGATAAGATACTGAGCTGGGGACACAGTGACCAAATTTTCAGTACCACTGCTTCTGGAAAGGATGTTGACTGATTTGATTAGATCAAATGGATATCCCTGTCATTTCATTTACCAAAATGTCTCCCTGATCACTATTCCCCTACATTTTCTGTCTTCATCTAATAAAATGCAAGCTCCTTGAGGGCAAGTCCTATTATACTTTCTTGTATTTATTTGTATTTCACTTAAAAAATTCCCTCATATACAAGAATATTTTATCTTACCTCTTCAATGATGGTATTGATTTCAGGTGCAGCTTTATTTGCTCTTTTTTTAATCTGTCTTTTTGCTTTGTTTACATCTTTTTCAACTCTCTTCCAGTCAACTTGCACATAGCCACTGTGACTGGCAATCTAGGAAAATTGAACAAAATGATAAAATGGTATTAAACCAGTCAATCTGCTAAGCCATTCATTAAAGTTCCACTGCTGTTGAAATTATTACAACAGATTATTAAATAGAGCTACTTATGGTGTTCGTGTATGGGAAGCCTTTGCTATAATATGAACATTCTAAAGTAACTCCGAAGTTACTTCCTTTGGGGAAGAGAGCTGGACATTGTGAAAATACAGACATTTGAATATACAATTACTAATGTGAAGGGAAAAAACAGAGTTGATAAGATCTTTCCTTACTGCTATAAAAGCCCATCTTAAACTAACTTACTCCTGAAGGTAGAATGTAAAAATGTGGCAAAATTATGCTCTACCTAGTTTTTCATTGCATAAATCCTTTAAGCACAATTATAAGTAAATGCTTATTGTACAAAAAAAAATATAACATGGTAGAACTGAAGCACCATTATATTTGTGGATTAGAAAATATTTGCATATAAACAGGAGCACTTTAGAATACTCAAACAACAAAATCAGAAAATCAGACAAGCAGTAAATAACCCAGCCATATCATCTATTAAGAACCTCTTCTTAGAGTACATTCTATGTAAATCAATTCTTTGGGCTTTTCAAATAATGAAAATATCTGATGTCATACACAAAGGATGATTCTGAATCCTGGACATTCTTCTATCAATGTCACCCTCTGAAGAATGTATTTACCTACAATTCTTCTTTATATTCTTTTACTACGTCTCTAAAAACAACGTAAGAAATATATACTGTGTAGATCAAGTAGAAGATCAAATCTTTTTTTGGCAGAAACGTTTAGATAGCCAGCACGAAGTTGATGATAAAGTTCAGTGTTTAGTGTCCAATCCATGAACTCAAAAGATCTGCTACTTAACTCGAATCAGGTTTTGCAAGATTTATATTTGCTGCTGCATTTACTTACCGGTTTCTGATCATGCAAACCCTATGAGGGGGGCATATCTCTTTTGTGTATGTATATGGCTATAATTCTTATAGGGAATCAAAATGTTTCCTACACCAGTTTTCTTCCTGCCAACTTCACTAAAGTATAATTGCTTTTTTTTAAATTTTATTAATTTATTTTGATTTATCACAATCACTTCCATATGCTTTTGAGTTTAAAATTTTTCTCCCCCTTCCTCCCCACCACCCTCCCCAAGACGGTGCACAATTTCATATAGGCTATACATTTGCATTCCTATTAAGCATATTTTCACATTAGTGAAGTTGTAAGTAAAAATTAAAACCAATAGGAGGAACCATTAGGAAGAGGAAACAAAACTCAACAGAAGAGAAAAAAAATGATAGCGATTCAGCTTCCATAGTTCTTTCTTTGGATGTGGATAGCATTTTCCAACATGAGGCCTCTGGGGATGTCTTAGATCCTTGCATTGTTGAGAAGGGTTAAGTTTATCAGTATTAGTCATTGCACAACGTGGCTGTTACTACGTACGACGTTCTCTTGGTTCTGCTCACTTCACTCAGCATCAGACCATACAAGTCTTTCTAGGTTTTTCTGAAGTCAGCCTGTTCTTCATTTCTTATAGCACAATAGTATTCCATTACATTCATATACCACAACTTGCTTAGCCATTCCCCAATTGATGGGCATCCTCTCAATTTCCAATTCTTTGCCACCACAAAAAGAGCTGCTAGGAATATTTCTGTACATGTGGGTCCTTTTCCCATTTGTATGATCTCTTTGGGATATAGCCCTAGAAGTGCTATTGCTGGGTCAAAGGGTATGCACATTTTTATAGCCCTTTGGGCATAGTTCCAAATTGTTCTCCAAAATGGTTGGATCATTTCACAACTCCATCAACAGTGCATTAGTGTCCCAATTTTCCCAGATCCCCTCCAACATTTATCATTTTCCTGTTTTGTCATCTTGGCCAATCTGATAGGTGTGATGTGGTACTTCAGAGTTGTTTTGATTTGCATTTCTCTAATCAATAATGAGTTAGAGCATTTTTTCATGAATATAGATGGCTTTAATTTCTTCATCTGAGAACTGTCTGTTCATATCCTTTGACCATTTATCAACTGGGGAATGGCTTGTAGTCTTATAAATACCTTAATTCTCTATATATTTTAGAAATGAGGCCCTTATCAGAGAGACTGGTTGTAAAAATTCTTTCCCAATTTTCTACCTTCCTTCTAATCTTAGTTGCATTGGCTTTGTTTGTGCAAAAACCTTTCAATTTAATGTAATCAAAATTATCCATTTTGCTTTTCGTAATGTTCTCTATCTCCTGTTTGGTCATGAATTCTTCTGTTCTCCATAGATCTGATAGGTAAACTATTCTTTGTTCTCCCAGTTTGCTTATAGTATCAGCCTTTATATCTAAATCATGAACCCATTTTGACTTTATTGTGGTATATGGTGTGAGATTTGGGTCTATGCCTAGTTCCTGCCATACTCTTTTCCAGTTTTCCCAGCAGTTTTTTTCAAAGAGTGGGTTCTTGTTCCAGAAGCTGGGGTCTTTGGGTTTATAAAATAATAGATTACTATAGTCATTTACTACTGTGTCTTGTATATTTAACCTATTCCACCGATGCACCACTCTATTTCTTAGCCAGTACTGTGAGAGATGATCTCTCAGAAGTGAAGCTTCCTCAAAGGGTCATTAGTTCTTGTTAATGGTTCTGGTATCGTTGCTTTTGAGTGGTACATGGGTACCAAGACTAAGTGAAGACCCCTCAGAATACAAGACCCCCTCCCCTAGCCTTCTGCCTCCCCTACTCTTAGATAGTGTTAGCAGAAATTCCTGAGCCATAACAGCATCCTGTCTATCTCATCCTCTAGCTAGTTATATGACCTTGGGTAAAAGGCTGCTGAAACTGGGAGGCCCTGAAAAGGGGAACATGCTAACATAATTTCTATACCTCTTTGTTCTCTCTGTTACTGGGATAGTTTTTACAGGGAATAGATTGTACACCTGAGGCTCAGCCAATGAGCCGACGGGATGGCGTTAGGGTGGGCTACTGCGTTAGGGTCTTATATAATCTTGCCTTAAACAAAGCGCACTCACACTCTCAGGGCAGCTTAGGCAGCACAGGGGTGCACTTTCTCGAGAAAGTCAATAAAGAGATCTCTCCTTTTTGCAAACTTTTGTCAAGACTCTGGTTTTTAACTGAGTAAAACAATGTAAACAATGTGAGATCTCTCAGATGGGCTGAGTGTAGCACACTGTCTTAGACTGTTGCAAATTCGAGGTTGGTTACACTAACCTGAATAGGCCTAAGTTTCAGGTTCCTAGAGATCACATGATTTGTATTGTTACATCAGCATTAGGTAATGGCTAATTACTAAATAAGGATAAATAGCTAGGATTGGTAGTATTATAATGTGGTTTCTTGTTTCTGGGGTAGATTTTCACATTTTAGATTGTAAGGCTGAAATTCCTGTCCAATGGGAATTCAAAGCCAGTGGTGGGTGGTTATCTCTGCATTAGGGCTATATAACCTTTGTCCTGGCCTTTGTGCCTTGCCTAGCTTCACTCGGACTGCCAGATGAAGCAGACACCCACTTCTCATGAGAATGTAATAAATCTTTCACTTTATACCTAGAAAATCTCTGAATGTTATTTTTGGGCAGCTGTACCACACAGTACCAAGCAGTTTTGATGACTGCTGCTTTATAATACAATTTAAGATCTGGAATTGCCAGGCCACCTTCCCCTGCATTTCTTTTTATTAGTTCCTTTGATATTCTGGACCTTTTGTTCTTCCAAATGAATCTTGTTATTATTTTTCTAACTCTATAAAATAATTTTTGGTAGTTTGACTGTAAAGTATAATTGTTAAAAATACTTTAAATTGCAAATTTAGCAGCTCACAAAATATTTATCATTAGCTAGAAATGTATATGGAGCTATCATTATACTAACAGTAGCTGACATTTATATATTAGAATTTACAAAGTACTTTAAGATACAAATGAAATATGCTAACATTTAAGCCTCACAATAACTCTGTAAGGTAGACAATATAGGTATTGTCTTCATTTTTTTAAACAAATTAAGAACCTGAAGCTTAGAGAGAATGAGTAACTTGCCCATGACCACATTAATTGCGTCTGAGGAAGAATCTGAACCTAGACTTTTCTCCTGAATTATCACATTTTCATTATCTCATTACTTCCTGTGTATGTATAAAAAAATATAAAATGTATAAAACAGGGAAGTTATCCATTATATTGTTTCAGATACACAAAGAAACAGTCAACATATAACTATAAAGACTGGTTCTGTTAAGTCACACAACACATTACTTTATAATATGTATTTTTATGTATTTCATTTGTATGCACATATAGTTTACATATAAAATATATATGTAGCCATTTATGCAGCTAGTTCTCCCATTAGATAGGTATCCCAATCCAGATATGGAAGATGATGTTAACAAAGACCTACATTATTGGGAACATGGTAAAGCTACTAACTAAAATATTAATCCTCATTTAATCATGATATCTTAACATAGCAGTCTAATAACAAAGTGAGTGTGATAGGATAACATTTCTCTAAACCTACCCTTAAGGGATAGTCTGGTCAAATCCTAGGTATATACGTCCTAACAGGAAAATATGCGATCTAGTTCCAAAATATCTAACAGTATCTAACTCGGCTTCAAATCACACCCAATATAGAAAATACAAAGAAAGATAAACCAATCAGTGGTTCAGGTCTGACCATGATCAATTTGCATAGCATATCATATTGTATACGTGCCCCAATTCATGCTAGTAATCACAATGTATAGAACATTTTTCCAAAATAGATCAAGTATCAAGATGGAAAAAAAAACAAAAACAAAAACTGGTCCAGCTTCTAGTGAGGTAGAGAAACTGCATATTTAGTCATAATAAATAATTGGTAAACATCTGCCATGTAATTTTTGAATGAATAGCTAAAAAGCAATGTAGATTAGTAGATATTTTTCATTAACATACTCTATGGCTCAAGAGATCTGAAAAATCT